GGTAGGCAAAGCTCTCTTAAAAACATCCTAAATGTTTCATTGTTGTGCTTTGGGGCCTGAAATTCTCAATTTCAGTACAGAATTCAGAGCAAGAGTGATAAAAGTCACGGTTGCTCTAGTTAGCACGCATATGGCATGTATTGTGAGCAAGATGCACCAAAAGCAGAAGCTCTCCTGGGAGTAACAAATAAATACCTGGTCTAATAATCACCCAGGGGTGTGTCTCCTTGCTGGGAAATCAAAAGCAAGGCCAGAACTTGCACGAGTTGTACAGCTGGAAAAGGCACTTCTGCGCTAGCCTGTACCAGCTTCGGGAGACAGGGCAATTGCACTATGTGCAAGAACACTAAACTGCATGCACAGAGCGCCAGCGCGAGAGAGAGGCTCCTACCTACAATCCCAGTGTGTGGAGGAACCCGAGACTTACATCTGCATAGTAAGAACGACATGAATTAAGTACATGGGTTTCCAATACTATATTTTCTAACAAAAATAGAGAAAATAAATGATAACAGAACTGTTAGTCTATATATTATTATCTGTGCATATATGTAAATAGAGATTTTTTTCTTTTTTTTTTTTGTAAAAAATGATCTTTATGCAATTCCTTTGCCTCCTTTTTGTTCCTTGTGGGGAATTTTGCATTTCACGTTGCATTCTTGGACCTATCTGGAAGTTTATGAGAGTTAATATGACATACGGCTATAATGATTGGAAAAAAAAAAACCCTTATTTGAATTTCTTTTATGTACTAGGTATCTCAGCAGCCATGAACTAGTTCTTGCTATCTAGACTCTCCTTTCCTGCTGTGGAAGAGCAGTGGTGAACTTTAGGACCACTGCATTTCTCAGCCTTTCAGTTCAGCTCCCTGTTAAGTGACTCAGTGCAGCTGCTTGGCTTGCAGCAGGAGTCTCTGGGGTATTTTTCTTGGGTCCTGTTGGCTTTGTTGGCTTACTCCTTGCACAGATCTTATTCGTTGTACACAAGAACCTGTGCTTATCACTTCGTATTTTAGTGAAGTCCTCTCCATGCTTCCCTGCCTTCTTTTTCCATCTCCTGTTACGCCACTGCTGATGTTTTCTGGCTGCTTCCCACACTTTGTTACAGTCTTATGCTTTTATGTGTCCTTACTGACGAGAAAAATGTTAATTTTGTTTAGCTTATATTACCATAATTATATCTTACCTTTTTTTGTTGTTGTTTTTCCAAATGTCTCCGATTTTTTGTTTTTCCTGTAGGACACAGCAGGACAAGAGCGCTTTCGAACACTGACTCCCAGCTACTACCGAGGAGCCCAAGGGGTTGTTCTAGGTAGGAGGTATATGGGGGAGAAACATGGTTACAAAAAATGTGAAGTCTTTATTACTAAGCAAATGTAAATCTCAAAAGAGACTGATAAAACCAGAAGGACAACTACTAATTTTTTTACAATGCTTCCACATGTCTAGCTCAAACATGAAGTGCGCAGAATTTATTGGCAGGACATAGAGTGTCTGCTATATATTTCGAATTTAAAATCTTTTGGTGTCACACTGAAAACCATTGAGCAGATGAATTACCACCTTTATTCTAATTACTGTGGCAAGTTTCTGGTCATAAGTCAAACCAAGCTTCCTCCTCCCCCTCACACCATTTTTCCCTTTTTTTTTCTTAAGAAACAATATTGATGCAATTCCTATGAAACATGAGATTTGTAGCACCAGTTGGATGATTAGTCCCATTTTGTGCAACAATATCAACTAGACCCAAAAAAAAAAAAAAAAAGGATCCTGAATAATTAGTAATTTGCTGTACAAAGTGTTTTTTCTGACCATGATGCAGCCTGCAGCGTTATTTAACCTTTGTGGTTATGAGTGTGGGTTTGAAGTTACTAGTGACCAAAAGTCACTTTTTATTGATATTAAGAATCCCTGTTTTTAACAGTAATGCATACATGATTCTTTAAATGAGATGACAGAATAAATATTTCAAAATATTTTGTGGCCCTGTTCAGATCTAGCAGCGTATGTAAGATCTCTGCTGTTAAGTTGGTTTTCCCATCACAAATGTGTGTCACACAGATGCTCATGTTATGTTATCCCTGGTGTCTTCAGGTAGGCGCAGCTTATGCCCAGCTCTGGGAAGACCATATGGTTGATGATATGTATCTGTATTTCCCTAATAGTGCTTTTCATGTAAGGCAACAGCTAAAATAGTAGAAACTAAGTTCTGCCATGATGAAGAAAACATTACAGCTGTTAAGCTCCTTTTCCTCTGTCGCCAGTGTATGATGTTACAAGAAAAGACACTTTCACAGGACTGGAAGGCTGGTTGAATGAGCTGGACATGTACACTACCAGAAGCAACATTGTGAAGATGGTAGTTGGCAATAAAACCGATAAGGTCAGTTTGGAGATGTGTTATCTTGCATGCTTCCAGTGGATACTCAGTCATGACAAGTGTCTGATAAGCTCTGGAAGGTACATGTCTGTTATGTGAGGAGGTCATATGTGCTGTAACTAAGGAAGCCAGGTGAGGCAGGCTCTGCCTTTTTTCATTTACTGCCTCATTTGAGAGGCAGATCCAGAATTTCTTGAAAAATATCCTGGAAAGATGCAAATAATGAGAGAGAAATTGTCTTCAAAGAAGATGGTGAAATGTTCTGCTTAGCTTCACTGGCATTTCTCTTTATCAGATATCTGCAGTGCACAGCTTCCATCTTCCTGAGCAGATCGTGGGTTTTCAACAGACGTGGGGAGGGGAAAGGAGAATTCTGCTCCTGCCTTGGGAAGGCTGTTGGAGTGCGTGCGTGTGTGTGTACGCTGTGTGCATTGACCTCTGGGCTTCCCTGGGATTGCTTGGAGCGTCCGAGACGCGTTTCCTGCAGAGATGCATTTCACCCTGTGTTTGCTGTCAGAGGTTTGCAGTGCAGCTGTCTCAAACCAGCTGACTGATGCTTTCCTGGCTGCACGTATATATCAAGTAGTCGGTACCACGTTTGTCTGAAGATTTTGGTGGTATTATCCTTCTCTGTCCTTTTACAAATCTGTCACTTCTTAGGCATATTTGGACAGCCTCCTTGTCGTACACCTTGCCCCCTTCCAGCTGGTGATGAAGGCAGCAGCACTCCCTCCTTTCCTGCTTATCTGATGCTGCTCCTGTTCACTTTGATCCCCCGCACTGGTTCTAACACCCGTTCTGGCTGCGGAGCACAAAGGAATAATCCAGCCAGTGACCAATTACCACATGGTTTTGTAGGTGTTTCTTCTCTCTCCCCACCCCCCAGCAAAACTTCAGGTTTGCAGGACTGCTTTTCCAGGGAGTTCTAAAACTGGCAAATATAGTTTATTTTAGTCATGTTCTTCCTTCATCCTTGCAGCCTGATCGTGAAGTAGAGAGAAGAGAAGGGCTTCAGTTTGCTAGGAAACGCTCACTGCTCTTTATAGGTATGCTACTCTTTGCCAAAAAGGTATGTTTATGTATTTTGGTGTGGCTGAGCATGAATGAAGAGTATAATTGCATTTTGCATGTCAGGTTGAGTTTTATAGTTAATGAACATGGTTGCCTTTTGCTGCATCAATTCATGTCCGTGGATGTAGATCTTAGTTTTTTTTCAAAGATACTGCAATATATATTTTTTTCCCCTGAATGTACATGGCTTTTTGTATTCCCTTGCAATTGTCAGTCTTTGTTTGTTTATTTTTAATTCAGAGGCCTAAAGAGTGGAATCTTCCTCCTGACTGATGTCAGTAAAGGCCTTGGCTAATTTTCAATGTGGTTAGACCAACGATGAAATGTAGAATGTGAATAAAAAGCCAGCAAAGATGGAAAGATGGAAAAAAAAAGTGCATTAAAAATGACGCATGTATAGATGAAACCTCTTGATAAGATTTGGAGAAAGATATGGAGTGAACATGTATATTCTGCATTCTTTGGTTTCTGACTTATTTCTGGAGTTCATCTTGTAGATTCGTTATCACAACTGAGAAAATTTTCTGTTTACTATTGTGAGGAGAAAGGGGGACAGTGGAATTTTCCTAGGTGGAAAGGGGATATGCTTCAGCCTGATGGAACGTGTTTGTTTAGTGTAATTAACTTAGGCATGCCTCTAAGGGAGAAAGGAGGCGAGGTTATTGGTTATACATTACAATATGTTCTCTATTGCCCAAAATAGCTTTTACAAAGAGGAATACTCGATGCAAATAAAGCAGAACGTACACTTTTAGCTTTTTTCCTCTCTTCTCTGTAGAAACGAGCGCCAAGACGCAGGATGGAGTCCTGCACGCCTTCGAGGAGCTTGTCCTGAAGATTCTGCAGACGCCGGGTCTTCGGGATGGAGGGAAGCGCGGAGTGCGGCTGGCGGCGCCCTCGGCACAGCAGGGGAAGGGCCCGTGTGGTGCCTACTGCCCGCTGGCGTGAACGGGACGGTCTGTGCCGGGACCTGTGCAGCGCGTGGGGCCTGCCAAAAACAAATCCATTAACAAAATACACTTCCATGCACTAACAAAATATTGTTTCTCCTTCTCTGTGCCCAACTGATATCTTCAGATATCAATATAATCGTTTTCTGATATCTATCAAATTTGCTCCAAGCAGCACTGTGATTTATAGTGAGAACTAATTAATACTTTTGATGTTTCACATCTAACATATGCTTGTTTTGAAATTCCCTCCTTAGCATTAAATAAGACACTCTGGAGTTTCACCAGAAAGCTTCTTTTCCCCTAGAATAGCATGGGAAGCTCCTTGGCAGCCAAGTTCCCGTGAACGTGATCATAAGCAGTTACAAGCAGTGACATTTTCCCCCATATCAAGTGTTTTTAAGCAGTGAAAATTGCTCCATGTCCCCAGAGTTAAGCTACTATAGAACTCTGAAGTATTTCAGAGTTCTAGTGAATAATATCCTTATAATGTTCTGCAGGGGAGAAAGATAGATGCACCTGTGAAGGAAATTGTAGGCTTATTCCTTGCTGCTCTTCAATAAGTTGTACTGAGGATTTGGTGATTTGGAGGTGGTCGTCATTTTGAGCCAGTTCACAGGGTGGCTCCTTGCTGCCCTGAACAGAGGTCTCTACAAACTCACGTTTCTGCCATCATTGAGCAATTGCAGGACTAAAACTAAGGTTGAAATAAAGATGGAAGATCTTTTGCTGGAAAGCAATTCTTAATTTCCTGTTCAATTAGGAAATTCAATTACGAAGAGGCTAGCTAGCTGGCTCTCATTTTTTTTTCCCCGCTAAATTCACTGCTTTTTCTTCAGAACAGTCATGGAAGATGCCATCCTAGCTTCAGGTCTTGGCAATGTTTCCAGAACATGTGTTTGGCTCCTTGTAATACTGTAAAAGTACCTGAATTTTGGAGACAGCTTTAAAAACATAAACTGAAGCACTTGTAAGCAAGCAACATATCCAGAGGCACTTTCATTACAGGATGCAGTCTAGCTCCTTTTTTCTGAATTGTTTTTTTAGGACATATAATTTGATGATTCATAGCTGTAAATTTAAATTAATATTAGAAGTGCTATCCTCAGTAACACTAATGGCTTGTCATGGGTGCTGCCACAACGCAAAAGGCCTTAAACAAGGCATATAAACTTCTACCTCATTTTGAAGGTATTCCTGGCTTGTTTTCCACAAATTTGTTCTTTTTGGAACTTTTTTTAATCTAAGAAAAATCTGTCCTGTTGTGTGTGTGACAGCAGCACTGGAGTACCTGAACAGAAATACATCATGTGTAGGGTTTTTGCATTCATTTCTGTGTGTCTTGCTAGGGATGTAAGTGGCTGTGTGGCTGCACTATCATTCCTGTGCATTTTCCTCTGCTGAAATCTTAGTTTGGGGAAGATGTTGAATTTTATAGGAGCTTTTAAAGTTCTGAACAGCTGCTGTGGAAACATACCTACTTTTAGTCTACAGAAAGACTCCTCCAGCGTGGTTTCAGCACATAAGGTATCCCTTTGGTGTGATGTTTATTCTTATCAGAGAAAAAACGAGAAAGCAATTTCTGCTGGTGTGACTTTCCACAGCTGGATCAGCAGTGCATCCAGCTCACAAAGGGGATGGAGTTTTAAGCTACTGAGCATTCATTTGCAAAATGTGAGCATGTCATAATGCGAGGTTGTCTGGAGTTTCTGGATATAAATGTGAAAAATGGAGAGCTTGGACTTAAGTAAAACAAAAAGGCCCGTTTGGAAGGTGGTAAGCCATGGCAACTGTATGAAAGCCATAAAAACAGGTAAGCAGCCCTGGAAGAGAACCAGCAAAAGGAGGTGGAGGGACCGATGTCACCAGGACGCGGCGCCTCCGCTGCTGCCTGCGCTCGCGGCGCGTGCGGCTGCTCTGCCCCGGTCCCGTCACAAGGGCAGGGATCCCGTCCCGGGCGTTTGCTGGGCACACGGAGACCCCGGAGACCGCGTGTTCCGCAGCCTTCTGAGGGCCGACGGGGCTGCTTGGCCAGGCCTTGAGCAGCAGGTACCTGCCTGCCTTAGAAGGGCAGCATGGCCTCATTTTTAAGAGGGAGTTGTCTTTTTGATATTAAACATCTGGCTGCCTCTTTAAAAGGAACATCATTTTCCTTTATATCGTGTCTCAGTCTGTTGTGAATGCACTCACACTCAGTGGATGTCCCCTCTGCTCGTAGTGGGGGGTATTTGGGTGGGAATAAAACCCCATCTTCGTTAGTTTATGTATTTGTTCTGTTTGCAGTAAGCTAAAACTAATACCAGAGATGAAGGGAAGATTTGCTTTAGGCTTGTGCTTTTGTAGACAGAAAACACTTCAGCCACATTGCAATTTATTTGCACTCAGTTTAAGTGTAGTATGGCTTGTTTGTCATGTAAATAAAACGCTACTGAAAAGTAGGAGCCTGCTCCGTAGTGCTGAAACGAGTACTCCCATTGCTGAAACACTGTTCCACTGCATGCAGGAAGCAATGCAGACCTGTGGTGCTTTTCCTCAGCACAAGATGTATCACGGTATGTGCGGGATGCTGACAAAGGAAGGGTTGGGTGAAGGGATACGGGCGCTCAATAGTTTCATAAGACTTTTTTTTCTTACATAAAGTTTTTTTTCTTTAAGCAAAATCTCGTATGGATAAGCCCTCACGTGCACAGACCCACCATTTTAACCTGAGCAAGATTCAGGTACTTGGTCATGTTTAACTCTGTTTCTCTCCCACTCTTGTTAGTAATAACTTTCCTGTTACTTCAGGTGTTATATCCAGGTAAATGCAGAACAGGGGGCTTGCTTCATCCTTTGAGAGTCACAAAATGGACAAGAAATGCTAAGGGCAAGGAAAAAAAAATCTGGTTGCTCTCCTGCTTTGGGGTCTTGGTAGTTTGCTTACATCCATAAATGGTGGAAGCAGGAGAAAAAGGAGGCAGTGATCAAACAGGGACACAGTGATTTTGGATATGGGTGAAAGCAGAAGGGGACTTTTAAAAATGTGTGTGTGTGTGTATGTAGAATGCATGTAGGAAATGAGGACGGGCAGCATAATAACGGTAAAAGCCCAATAAAGCTTTTCATGTGGAAAAAGATAAAGCACATGACAAACTTGGTATCTCTGGCACAGGAGGATCAAAAGCGCATTGGCGAAATCGAAAGAGATAACAAGAAGCTCTTGGAGAGGCTGGCTGAGATACACCGAGGGACGGGGAAGGTGGACTGCTGGAACGAGCGCTTCTGGAAGAGGTAGCGGCTGCTCCGGAGGCACCCGGGGCCCTGGGCAGGAAGGTGCCAGGCAGCTTTAGCCAAGGGACTCGCAGATTACGGCAAACCCAACTCTAGGTTCAGCCTTTAACTCCACTCCGGTTCTGCAAGGCCCCAGGAAAGGGTACACTCCCAGAAGAGCTCCCGGAAGTGCAATAATTCTCCTTGAAAAGAGGTTACTTGTAACAGGGAAGCTAAATTGGCACTTACCGGGTGGCAGCATCCCTCTACCTCAGCTGCTCAGGAGTTAAATTCCTTTTAAGTGGGAGTTTACTCTCTGCTGCTATTTTGGAACCCAACTGCATTCCCACCCTCAGGCTCACTGTGGCCATTTGCCACAGGATCCTACGGATCCAACCCTCCCTGGCAGGGATTTCACTAGCTTTCCTTTTATTCTGCCAGCTTCAGATTTCCTAGGTTGTGTTTTTTTTTTTTTTTTCTCCCCCAAACTGTTTGAATGTATGGACTGCAAGTCCAAACTTGGTCTCTGAGGTTTCTCCCCAGCTCAATTCATTTTTACAACAGCCATCTAGGGCAGGTCCCTGAGGCTGTTTTCTATGTGTATACTTGCACATATACTTGCACTGAAAGAATGTGCACGTGGTGCATACGCGTTTGCCAGCTAGCAAAGCAGTATTATTGCCTTCCCTGTTCAGTTCCCCTGAACGGCTGTTCTCTCGCTGCCTTCTCCCCATGTAACTGCCTTCCCCCTTTGGGGACACCCGCAGTTCTGAGTGGTCTAATACAGCAGCTGAAATTATGTAGCTTCACGTCTGAATTAGGAGAGAGCTGCACAGGGACAAGGTACGACAGGGAGCCACAGTAAAGCTGCAGTCATTATCCTGCTCTTAGGAAATGCTGACCAAAGCCAAACTGCACCATTTGGGTATGGGAGAGGGGAGGACTGAGATTGCTGCACCTGTGCACGTGCCTTACACCACTGCATTAACAAGAAACTGCTGAAAATTCACTTTTTAATTTTTGTGTTCATTCGTTTTTGGTTTTAGCTCAAATAGAGACAAGAAGAACAGGGAAATAGTGAAGATCACTATTGAAAACCAAGGTATTCTGAAGAGGCTTGTTGACCGCAAGCCTACTTACAACCTTAAGAAGTCTGATACTGGTTGGCAGGCATGTACATTAGCTTTTGTTTAGTATATCATTCTTTTGTTTTTTTCAACCTAAGGAAAAATGTATCTGAAAAGTTTAAAACTATGGGGATGTTTTTAAAGTGGCAGCTACTTACCCATTTGTATTAGTGAACTAGAAAAAAATGTACATTAATAAATCAGAAAATATTAGGTAATTAGAAAAGAGAGCATTTTATAAAACAAAATCATGTTAGAAATCTGTGTTGAAGAGCTGCTTGTATATAAAAAGGATAGGTAGTCTTAGTGATAACAGCTGCCTTGCTGAAGTTGAATTTTATTCTGATATATTCTCAATAAATATTGCCATTATGTTCAAACCTTAATTTTCATGTTGCCTAATCACATGCATAAGCAATATTATCAATTGCAGGTACAGCAGAATAACAAATGCAAGGTTCTGTCTTTTTATCATCAAAAGGAGAACCTGGCTTTCACTTTACAGAAACCTCTGACAATTAGGATGCAGAGACTGCAATTCAAAGTCTCAGAAACTGAAATTCTTAAAGTTTATGGCTAACTGCAAAACTACTGACTGCTGAATTGAGTAAATAGTCTACAGGAGAGAATATGAAAGAGGAGGCAAAAAAGGATGCAAATTGATGGTGCTCTTCTGAAAGTTACAGTCGTAACAGTTTTTCTGTAATGTTTAATCAGCCTCAATGACAAATTCCTTTTTTTTTTTTTTTTTAATAGCAGAACACCAGGCACGTCATACGGAATACAACACGATACCTTATCACCTCCCAAAAGAACTAGGTATGCTGTTTTACCTCAGATGGTTGCAAATTCTGCGGTTCTATTGCAAAATTGGCTGAAGAAAATTCTTCAAAATTACCGGAATGGATGTTTGATCTCCTGGACTGAAACGTTCCTTGGCTGTACTGTACACACCTGATGTTTCAAAAGGGAAGCAATTTCAGATATGGGCAGTATATAGGCAGAAGACAGCCTGAACATTTCAGGCAGTGCAGACATTAAGCAAGGTTCATCCTTCCGTATTACCAATCAGAGAAAAATATACAAAAGATTACATTAATTTGTAAGTGTGACTACATTAATTTGCAAGGGAAGGAAAGAGGTAAGTGAGAAGAGGTTCGCCTGGCTTAGGTACTATGACTTAGTGCTCTTGGGGCTACTCACAAAGCAGGGCTTTGAATTAAGAGTACATTTGCCTTCTCCTTTTCTTCATACTCTCTTCTCATCCTTCCTCTCCCCTCTAATTGCAGGAGAATGGATCAGGCACGGCTAACACAGCAGGGACTCAAAATCTTGTCAGAGCCAGACTCCCGTTCTGGTCACGTTAGCTATCTGCTGCATGCTCTTCTGCTAGGATTTTAGAATAAACAGCAGCACTGAATGTGGGGTGTGGGTTTTTCTTCCCCTCCAAGAATGTCCATCTTAGCTACCTTCAAACCTCAGTACATTCATACCTATCCTCTCACCCTTCTTTGAGCCTAGAAAAAAACCTGCGCCAAGCCCCCGAAAAACCTGGAAACAAGATATTTTTGACAGTGCCACAACTTAATACTGAGGTGAATTTGCATCCATACAGAATTTACTACCTGTACATGAATTACAAGATTAAGTCAAATTATTCCAAAGTCAGCTTTAACAGCAATGTTACATGTTAACATCTTAAGTCTTCCGTCACTTAACTTCAGTTATACCTGTATACCTCATTTCCTTGCTTCTCTTTCACAGTTCCCCTATTAAACTATGTTAGCTCATAAAGCACACAAACTATCCACTGATAGTCCTTTGGAATTTTTTTTAAGTGGTTGAATAGTAATCTTGCTTTGATAAATTCTGACCCTTAATTCATATTTAATGCATCTCCTACAAATGGTTATGTCTTGCAGACTGTAAAAAAGCTCTTTTTCATCTGTACAATCTATGTATTGCCAAATCTATGGCAACATCAGTCAATTTATACAAAGACATTTCTGCCTATTTGATATTTTCCTAATGCCATTTCATTTGAACTGTCAGCAATTTGAAATGAAGTAGTATTCCCAATTTTTCATAGGATAAAGATCACATGTGCCACAATTCACTTGGCCAGTGAGTCTCTTTCATAAGCAACGTTACCTTTGATGGCTGTGCTGGGCGAGGCCAGGATATATGCGACAGCAGAGCTCATGGACAACCAGAATTTGAAGAAAGACTTGCTGAGAGTCCACCGGTCTTGCGGTGTGTCTGCTCTGAAAAGACAAGAGCAGCTCTACTTGCTTGTAAAAAGTGCTTCTTGCATGAACTGGAACCCTGACACCAATAATCAGGAACACAGAGGAAAGTTGCCAGGGTAAAGCTGTTTGGTGGAAACAAGTATGACTGTCCTACTGTCCTACACAGCTTTTGGGGCTGATAAGACTTAATGTAGAGTCAGCGACACTGCCATATAAAGAAATATGCTTTTTAATATGCAGTGTTGTTAGTTTTCATGAATGTGCTAGAACAAGAATTATACTATTAAGATCTAAAGAATGGGATTGGTACACTAGAAGATATTATTCGAGGGCATGGTACATATAAAATATTACAGTTCTGTAGGCAAAGGAAAACAGCAACTAGTTTTATCTAACATACACCTGTACAATACTCACAAATCTATTAAATAGTAAATTTAAAAGCAGAGGTGTTTTCACAACCCTCTCTCTTCATTTTCTTATTCATACCCACCTAAAAATCCTGTATATTCAAGTTTCCCCAAATAGCTGCAAACTCCTCTTACTGTTAAGATTTCCTCTCTACACACCCTGCAACCCCTCACAGAGTTGAAACGAAGGCATCTGTAACTGCAGGAAGGATGAAGACTCGGTGCAGTTGCTGTCAGCCTCCTCATTTTAGTGCCTTCTTCAGAGCTCACATGTTGGTGTCCATCGGGTGTAATTTCTAAAGGCACCTTGCAGGTAAAAAGCTTCTTGAAGATCTACCTCAAATCATATAATTTTCACATAGTCAAAAGAATGTTTCCAGTTTGGCCTGTGTCAGCAGGATGAGACCAAGACAGTGGATATAAGCTGAGCAAACTATCTGTACAAGACAGCCAGAAGCCCTGGTAAAGGAGGGATGGGCATTAAAACAAACCAACCACTCTTCCAGCTGCTAAAATATATACAACGTACAGAGCTGATCTACTAAGGGGAAAGGCTTTACAACTAATGATCGAAGGGAATCATGTCTTCCTGACGTGTCTGTCAGCCACTGGAATTTCTAAGCGCCTCGGACGGAGTCAGCACTCTCCTAATGATACCACTCCCACCTAGTTTATTAGCTCCTTCTGTAGGCAGATTCATCCCTGAAAAGTACCTAAGTTTGGGGTGCCTTAATTCTAGCCACACGGTATTTGGCTAAAGGCGGAGAATTTCAGCCTATTAGTGTCAGGCACTACTTAAATGTTTTGAAAGTATGAGACCCTCTGTGAAATTTTACCTCACAGAATGCATCATTTACAGTCTAAAAGCCACTCCAATCTCTTACTAATCTATTTAGGCTTTAAGTGTTCAGTTTTGAACAGCTCCCACTAAAAATTCTGATTGAGGAAAGCAGTGTCTTCTGACGTGCTTTGTTTAGTTCTCTCAATACGTTTTTACAGGCTATTTTCTAGTTAGAATGGCAGCTTAGAAGTGGATTTGACATGTTTCCCTTTCATAATTCACGTTTACAATACACAGTTACACAATCCTTCCTTCAAGCAGACAATAACCGCCTATGACCTAACCCAGCTGACTGGCACCCAAAATGAATCCTTGCTTAGTTTCTCTATCACAATTTTCAGCTGATTACATGCACTCTGGAGATCTTCTTTCACCAGTATAGTGTCAATTAAATGGCCATACTGCTCTTCAATGAATGCTGCTGAATTAATAATTTCCTGCTGTTCTTCACCCTGCTGAGAAGATGAGAAAACATGAAAAAGCAATGCATCTTTTAAATTATTTAACAGTATTTTTGAGTATACTAGCATTCTACATCATTACTTTGAAAAGGAAGCTGCTACCACTGGAAAAGTGGTGCAATTAAAACACTGGATGCTACAGTGGGAATTTGATAGGTTGTTTCAAGGATAGTAGAGCAGTTAAGGAGGTAGAAAAAAAATCCAAAGGGGAAGTAAAATTATAGCACTACATTTTATGAAAACAGGCAGTGGTGCCTAACATAAGATCTGGAAATCATTCTCTTCAAACAGTAGAAAATGAATGTTGAAGCCAGTGTCCCCAGGTTCAGTTATGTTTAAGGGCTTAAGTGAAAATTTATCACGAGAACAAAGTTCCGTATGTATAAATTCAAAGTTTAGGTTACCCAAAATAGGGCCATTGTGCACTCAGTATTCCAGGTTACACCCACACACCACCACCTTTCAGACAGTGTAGCTCTGGTCCTTGTAGGATGTGCACGTGCTCCTTTTTTCTGTTACTGTATCACAGCTTAACAAGCTGGATGGATGTCACCGTGCAGGTATGAGCAGCACATGGCTGCCTTGGCTGTTTGATGGGGCCACTTACCAACAAAATTAAATGACTGTGAGTTTATCTGAGCTCAGTTTTGCCCTTGAGTAATGCACACAGCTCCAGAGGGAAGATGTGCACTCTGCCCCATGTGGCTTAGCTAAGTTTGAGGGGAGTCAGCAATCTCTGAAGTTCCAAATGAGAGGATGGAGATCCACGCAGACTCTTTCATATGATAGCAATACTACCCAAGCACTTCTCTCATATCTGAGAAGTAGAGATTAGGGTTATGATACGTACAAGGCATGGTGAGAGTTCTTCTGACACCGGAGATTTCAGAGCAGGCTTTTTCTTCTCTGGAATGAGAGGCTTCACAAAGATAACATAAGGCTTAAACTCAGGGGTCCTCAGGTGCTTCAATGCCTGTGAAGGGAGTTTTTTTTTTTGTCATGCTCTGTTTTGTAGAACACTACAAGAAATGTCAGTGATCTGCACGAGCTGGGTTCAACAATTTTGCTTGTGCACACACTGGCATGAGGTTGCGTGTACCATACGACACATCTGAGCATGGTACCATCTGGATCTTCAACAGGAAGATTAACATCAGTTTCCTGGCTACCTTACAAGAGTATGTGAGCTTCCTGGAGCATGGTCTAACTGCCAACACACCTTGCTTTGCTTTGTAATTCCAGCATTAGGGACATGCCAAAGAGACTGAGAAAATGACAGAAATGTGATCTGTTAGGCAAGTTGCAGTTTGCTCCTCACAAAAGGTCAAACACAGGAAAATGCAAACTGAGATTCATTTTAAGTAGTAGTAAAAATCTTTATTGATCCCATTCACCATATCTGAGCCAAAATTTCCAGGTTAATTCCTAGTATGGGGGGTGTGAGAGCAGAATTGTAACTGGTGCCAGTATGCCTAATAATGCTTTGAAGCAACAGGAAGC